CACACACACACACACACACACACACACACACACACACACACACACACACATACACACACGAGGCACAACACAGGCACGCATGTAAATTTGCAAACATATGCAGTGATGAACACTGAAGATGGTAATAAAGAAACAAACATAAAACATTATATACTGCCAAAGTGTTGCTGTTGTTCTTACCAATTAACAGAGTGCTGATTTACCGCTTGAGGGAAAGCACGCTCGTACAAACCACCATGGCAGTATACGCACCCACATATACTCATTAATGTGTATACAAGCCTAACAATTAACTTTGGGGGAATAAAAGGGCAGGGAACGGACTGAGGGGGTAAGTATACCAAAGGAATTATCTCTTATTTTAGTAAAATYAAAATGTTTTCATGTCTGCATTAGTGTGTTTTTGAATTAGGAACAGAGACGAGAAATAGTGGGAGGAGAGGATATGAGCAAACTCTCCAGCAGCATCTGATCATGTTGTGCTGCTCAGTTAGAAGTTTTAACAAGGCTTTGGTGCTGCACTTCATTCCAGTTTGTGTGTGTGATCAAAGGCTACTTTTCTCTTTTTCTTATAACCATGATGCCAACTTATTTCTAAAGAAATATTAAAGTTTCTTTTGCAATTTTTAGTCCATCATTTATTTTTTTTTTATGTATGAGGATTTGACAGCACTATCCTTGTCTGGTCTTGGACAATGCTATTAAAGTGCCTGTGACATGCATATCCATGAATTACAAAAAGCCAAAGAAAACATCTTTATATTTAAGAAACTTGGCATAATAAACATGATTTTAGCCTTTATGTTACATAACTGGCATATTTTCTATTGAACTTGGCTCACCCGAAGTAAAACAGGAAGTGAAATCAAAAGGGAACTCTTTGAAAAAGAAAACTCCCTGGTTTTTGTTCACTGAAACAATATTAGTTCATCTCTGAYTTTTTCTCATTTCTCTATGATAGTGATGAAAATAATCTAAAGAAACATCAGATTATTCTCTACAGTCTGTGATGCCAGCCTTTGTAGCAATGCTCTGTTCACGTTCAGACATTCTCTTTTGACATCACTTTCTGTTACTTCACATGCAAATTTCTCAACAACTGTTCATCTCAGTGGCATAAAATCTTTTTCCAACATGTTATCAATGTTTATTTTTTCGAAAATGCCTTCATATTTATTACAAAAATTTGATGTCACGGGCACTTTAAATACAAGTTCTGTTTTCATAGTTTAACGTTAAAGGGGACATCATGGAAAATCCCCTTTTATAGCCATTAAATATACACTGTATCGCCAAAAGTATTTGCTCACACATACAAATGACTGTGCACGAGTGCACAAAGCAAGGACATGGATGGCAGAGTCTGGTGTGCATGAACTTGACTGGCCTGCACAGAGTCCTGACCTCAACTCGATAGAACATGTTTAGGATGAATTAGAGCAGAGACTGAGAGCCAGGCCTTCTTGTCCAACATCTGCATGTGACCTCACAAATGTGCTTCTGGAAGAATGGTGAAAAAT